ATCAGAACTGATAATTAAGGCCTGCAGTGTGAATGTAGCCAAAATGCCAACCTGAAAGGTTTCCATAGCAGCTGTTCTGCTTAAAACTATCCAATTAGATCACACATACCAGTTAGACGAGGTCTTTTCAGCACAGACAATCGTACATCTCCATCATGGAAACTGCAGGAAGATGTTCAGCCTGGAAACAGATAAAAAGCTCAACTTCAATGGAAAATAGCTTAGATTACAAAAATGACAGTTGATTCTGAAGGGAGAGAGGACAAAGATGCTTCAATATGGGGGAAAAAAAAAAAAAAAAAGCTAAAAATACTCAATACCAAGATCTTGCTCAATTTTGGCTCAAAGCCAAATCTTTTTAGACCCAATTTTCATTTTGACTTAAAAATAGAGCTGAAACTCATCTACTGGAAATCAAAAACTTCTGTATTATACAGTATCCCAACTTAAAATCGAACTAGAAGGAATCTTAATTCAACAGAATCCATCTCATAACAGACTGCAACAACACTTCAAGTCCAGAGGCGCTGGAGACTCTTCCTTCCAGCAGCTCATTAACATCTCTGCTCCTACAGCAGCAGATTTAACTCCCTGTCTGTTTCCTTCATACTCTGTCCAAGCACATTTAGCCATTTTCACACTACAGTTAATCTAAAAAAAAAAAAAAATCCATCGTTTCTCCTCATTTCCAGCCATATTTTAGCAGTTCCATCAATACTACAGACCCATCTCCTCAGGCTGAACTAAGGATCTCAAAATGTCATGAATGACTGAGGTTTAACTGTAGGGAAATATTACCATACAGACTAAAGGTACTTTAAATGTGCCCAACTGAGGGAGTGGCGCCCTCTAGAGGTTAAATTGAGAAATTTCTATCATACTTTTAACCTAAAAACCAAGAAGATTCCACAGCACAAAGCTGGAAGATAAAAAAAAACAAAAAAAAAACAGACTAAGTCTTAAAGGGGACCCCAAGTTCATCTTAAAGCAAGGATCAAATCTTAGCTCTAAGGTTTCTCATCAATCCTCTGCACCCCGTTTCAGTTTCTCATCAATCCTCTTATCCCCACATTTAAACAAGAGGACAACCACATGACCTACCGGCGCATATCCTTTCATTTCTTCTTAACCCAGCAGTTTGCACTGTAGTACGATTTGGCAGCATCACTACGGTGGCTGTGAGGGCCATTTTCTCACACCACAACTCAAACCCTGTGGAAATAATCACCGTCGGTAAGGGATCACAAAGGGAAAACAAACACTGTAGTAAAAAGTCCAACGCTCAGACATCCAAGGAAGATTTGAACCATCTTTGGTCGTTAGACCTCTGGTGGAAACTGCGAATGGATAAAGTAGTCGTCATCACAGCGTAGGAAAGGTGGAAAACAACACACCAAGGATACTGACCTGGTCTGAGTTGCTGGTTTAACTCGCAGATCACCTCAATTCTGGGGGGGGGAGAAAACAACAAATTAAGCTGGCAGACCAACAATATTTGATTTAATCCCTGATGCAGACTGTATAACAAGGTGTATACCGGAATGACTCTGAACATGTGGCTTTACGATAAACCGGAAACAGTTCTGCACAAATATATCGAGATATTATACATATGACGAAAATGTTAATCTTTGTTTTTTTCTATTTTTCTTTTTAATATAGCATTATAAATGCCACAATAATCATATTTAATGACTTTTAATGCCAATTAAGGCCTTTATTTAAAAAATAATTGAATGACTCGATGTCCTGCGGAAAACCTGATGAAGCAAAGATTGACTTTATTGATCACAGTGGAGAATTTTACTCATTATATCAGCTCAGATACTCAAGAACAAGAGGTACCAAAGGAAGAAAAGGTGAATGTGTGAATATGCATGCATGCATTATTACATGCATGCTTTTGACTATTTGAGCTGATGTAACGAGTAAAATTCTCCACGGTGAGATCAATGCATTATTACATGCATGCATTATCAAATTGATCCAAATCAAAATATATATATAAAAAAATGTCACGCTTTTTTAAAAGCATGCTTTATATGAGCTGAAGTCTTTAAAAGCAGATTACACACGGTTGTTGCACATGGTATTTACATAGATGGGCATTTATCTATATAATAAGCCATTTTTTCCCAATATAAATCAATTTATAAAAAATAAAAATAAAAAACCACACCCTTCTGAGGCCCAGGATTCTCAAACTTGTTAAAAAAGTGACAAGTGATAAAACCATGTTAATTGTGTAGTTTATAATTCACCTCACACTGTCAACACGTGTAGAACTAATTAGGACTTAAAAATAGAAATACTTTATCCCAAGCTGGGAAATAAATGCCGCTTTAAAGCATATAAATAAAAATAAGATGTACTTTGGAGAAAACAGCAAAAGCAATAATATGTGTACTGCTACTAAATAAGAGCAAGAAGAAATGAAAAAACACGAACCGTTTTAGCTACAAGGACTTAAAAACATTATGGAAGTTAGAGGATATATTAATTAAATGTACTCTATGTGTAAAAACGTGGAGTTAATGTTCGCACCAGAAACCAACGTGCAACAATCTAAACCCATCCTCCATATAAGATCCCCGTCACACGTTTACTACATCAGATAGCGATTAAATGCGCGGTTATAAATCTAAATAGTGATAAATTAGAAGTTTAAAGCAAAGATGTAGACTGAAATCACAAGTTTAAGAGACATTACCTGATTATCAGCTCAGTGCGCAGCAGAAATGACCGAGGCAAAGCTTCTGCGCTTCTTTTATACGTCACGGCAGCGACTGAAACCGATGTGACGATTGAGCGCCCCCTATTGGACGGGAGGTAGAGGGGGAGAACTGTATGCAGTCTAGGCCTACATTTTAAAAAATTTCTTTCTAATGAATATATGATAGATACATTTCTGTTTCTTTTTTTTAACCATAACTTTTGTTTGCCCTTTAAAAAGCTATATTTGTTGTTTTTTTTCCAAAGAATTTCAGTCATGATTGAGTCATTGTTGGAGTCTGCATTTTTTCATTTTCTTTATTTTATTTTATTAATTTATTTTCTTATTTTTTTCCTACTTGCTTTGATTCTGTTTTATTTTCCTATATTTTAATCATGTAAAGCACGTTACACTGTCTTTGTCCTGAATTGTGCCATACAAATACATTTGCCTTGCCTTGCCATTGCAGGATTGAACATTTGCAGCATTAAAGGACTGATGTCTCAGCAGGATCTAGAAAATCACAGCAGAAATGGTGGCAGTTATAGGAAGCCTATAATGGGTAGAGGAGGTCAGACCAGAAAGGGTAATATTCAGTATTCAGGGAAAAGGAAATTATAGAAAAGATTTAGTATTAGAAATTCAGTACGGTCTATTTAGATTTGAAAGGGGTGGCATTAATATTTGGTTATGTTGGGTTCCAGCACATGAAGGTGTAAAAGGCAATTAAATGGCAGATATATTAGCAAAAAGGGCTTTAGAGGGAACAATAATGAATCCAATACTGTTGGGAAAGGGGAAGGGAAATCACTTATAAAGAGTAAGGAAATGGAAAAATGGCCAATGAGGTAAAACAATGATAAGAAAGGGAGAGGATTATATAAGGTAGAAAAATCAGTGTTAAATAGAATCATTAATGAGAGAAACAGAATGGAAAAAGTAATAATGATCAAATTAGGACTGGATCATACCTTTTTAAATGACAATTTTTATTTAATAGGGAGGAAAAATAATGATAAATGTGAAGGATGTGTAGAAAAAGAAAATGTAGAACACATAGTGAACATGAAAGGGAGAACCTATGAACATGAAAGGGAGAAAGAACCTCCTCAGGTCTTCTAGTTCCAGCCTTCTCTGTTCACCCAGAACTATAACCAAACAAGGAGAAGCAGCATTTAGTTCCTATGCTCCACTGATCTGGAACAAACTTCAAGAACACTGGAAAAGTGCTCAAAGCCTGAGTTCTATATATATAAATCAAATGCCTTTGACTGTTGAAGTTAAGCTGCTAACTGAAGTATTATTAGTTTAAGGTTGTAATCCAACAGTTTTATTTTCTTCTCTACCTGCTTTTATCATTTTTTTTCTTGCTTTTACTCTGCTTTTTTTGTGGTCCGCTTGTTTTATTTGTTTTACAAATGTTTTTGCTTTTATTTTTCTTCTATTTTATTATCTAATTCATGTTAAGCACTTTGAATTGTCCATGTACTGAATTGTGCTATGTAAATAAACTTGCCTTGTCTTGCCTTACTGGTTAACTTTCATTTATAGTATGATTTTTTTTGTTGCTAGAACTACATCTGTTCTGTGTTGTACTAAAAGGTATTGACTTTTACACTCGATGTTCTGCTGTTTTTTCATTTTTTACCTATCTGCTCTGACTGAAACAAGCAGAAAGGCTTTTTCCTTTCTGCTCCCATCACTTGCAACTTGGTAAAAAGAATGACGAGGGATTTCAAATAATATTTCCTCATAGTTTGGGGTAGTTGTTGTTTCTCATTTTAATTATTTAACAATATTAGGGTTTTAAATGTTTCTGCCTCTTGGGAGGAACTGAACTGATCTAAATGGGATTTAATCCTGGTTAAATAAAGGTGGAAAAAATGTATTTGTTCTCTTATTTTGTTCTAATTTTTAATATAAGACACCAATCATTTCTTAAATTTTTATTTCCAAAAGGTATAGATTGTGAATTATACAATAAACATTTTTATTGTCATTTTTTATGACTGTATACAATGCACAGTCTATAATAATAGATCTATCTGCTGAAACAGAAAAGAGCGGAGGGATTAAAGGGTGAGAGATGCTCAGATAAATGGAGTGTCACAAAGAGAGAGAGAGTGCAGACATGGACCAATCCACTCTCTCCTTTTTCCTCCATCTTGCTCCTGATTGGACACTTTAAGTGCAGAGTAGACTAGTCCTCTGCTCCACCCTCCCCTCCTCCTGGTGTGGTGGTGCTGCTGCAAGCTGCTGGTGTTGCCGTGACGATGATATCCTCCCCCCTCCTACACACACACACAGAGCAGGAGGAGAGGAGTGAGGAGGCAGCAAACAAGACGGTATCATGATGCGATGGCTTCAGGCTGGAAAACAGACGATGCCACTGATCGCCTGGAAAACTGGGTGAGAGCTGGATTCATTTCCTGGGAAGAGGAGGAGAGAAGGATGGATGGGTGGAGGGATGCATGGGTGGATGGACAGATGGATGGGTGATAGAAGGGTGGAGGAATGTTTGGGGGTGACAGCAGCAGCTGTAGCATGCCCTGTTTGCTTTAGAGGGTGGGGGGATGCAGGGATTGAAGCATGAAGGGATGGAGGAAATGAGGATGGAGAGATTTACTGAGTGAATGAATGCAGCTCAATCTGATCAGCTTTCTGTGTATTATTAGATGGGTGTGTGGGCGTAGGGGTGTGTGTGGGGGTGTGTGGTGCTGTCAGGCCTGCATGCACACGTTAGCATCCTGTCTGCTAACTGAAACAGGAGGTACGTCACTTCTCTGAAGTGAAACTGAGGTCTCATCACAGCGACATGTTCTGTTTATTGGGACACAGAGTTCCTGCAGATCACAGACGGATCAGTAAACAGAGCCTCTGGTTCTGTTTAGAAAATGTGTTTAAAACGTCTCTCTGCTGGGAAACCCAGTAAAGCAACAGGAAACGGATGCTGAATGAGCACCTGTAGAAAAACAGCTCTAAATTATCCACAAAAAGACCCAAATATGAATGAAGGGAGACATTTAACTTTATAGACAGGAGGATGAATAAAGACAGAAACAACAGCTGATGGATCCAACATTTAAGAGCTGAAACAACTTTAAAAGCTCCGCAAAATCTGAACAAAAAACATCAGATTTACTTTAGAAAAGCAGCAAATGAATACATTTATAACAAGAAAATATATCAGAAAGAAACTCTGGATGTGGCAGCGACAGATTAGACAGGTTATATGAAAAGATACAAAACAAATAATGATTTTAAGAACATAAAAAACAAGCAGGAAGCTTGCAGTAGAAGTAGACTCAAAAGATATTCTCTCAAAAGAAGAGAGAAAATATAAGACACGCAATAATCAGGGCCTAAAATACAACCAAAAGATGCAAAACTGATAATAACGGGAATGAGACTTCCAGGGACTTGATGAACAGCTGGAAAAAGAACAAGAATTAAATGTAGAAGGAATTTGTGAAGTAATGTAGTAGAATAAATATATTAAGCGTGTAAAGCTGTATTAACTGACTCAAAAACAAGAAAAAGATCCATCTATAAACACTAGTTGAAAAAAAGAAAAAACAAAAATGATTCAAAAATTCAAATCAAGTAACAGTTAAACAAAAAAACAAAACAAATAAATGATAAAAATAAATTACAAGAGGAACATCCTGGTTATGAAAACTTACCAATACTGGAAAAAAAAAAGTAAAATAAGCACAAATTAAAAAAAAAAATCACAATAATATAACAAACAACTAAAGATACATGTGAAGTAAGAGGCAACTATAACTAAAATAATCCGGACACTTCTAAGACGTTAGTTGCAACGAATTATTAAAAGATTATGAAAAGAGACAAATCTGAATTTGAAGAAACATGTAAAACATTTTGAAATGAATGAACAATAATTGCGGTAAAAAGAATAAATGCTGAAATGTTGTTGGTTTCATCCCTACAGAACAAATCTCTGTCCTTATCAAGCTTTATTTGAAAAATTCCTGTTGTTTTAAAATTAATAATTTCCTTAATTCTACATGTCAACAAGTTTAGGTGAGAAATTTGTAGCCATTTCCTGACTTTGAAGTATCTGCAAACATCTGTGTAAGTTGTCTTATTTTAAAGACTAATCATACTATAATTCCACCTTAGTAAACCAGAAAATTAGTTATTATAAATTCAAAGTTTCCAGGAACTCTAAAATAACAAATGTTCTGCAAGATAAGATTGTCTCTTATTTCTAAACGTAAGATTAATTTTATACAGAAAAACAAAAAACAAAACTGATTTAGTTTAAGGCTGATCTTAGATCTTTACAACGGATGCAATAGAACAAAAAATCAGGAAAAGATTAAACAGCAAAGACTTAGAGAGAAAAAAAGACATTAGGTGACGACTACAGGATGAGACAGATACATGAAAACTAAATGGAAACATCTTTATGAATATCAAAAAACTAAAACTTATGATAAAATCAACAAATATCCAAACAGACTGTGCACAGTGATGCAATTAATTGTCTTTTACGGATTAATAGAAGTAATTAAGAACCACCCACACACATCCTTAATATACTGTAGACAGTTTAGGATGAATTATAGCTGTAACACTTGGAGAAAATGAACAATTTTTCAGATTTCATGACAAAAAGTGAGAAAAGGACCACTAAGTGGGGCCTGTATGTGATAAACTAGTGACTACAAAACAGAAAGTGGACACAAACCTTCCCGTGGGAACGTAAAACGACACCCGTCAGACAGCCTGACTGTGTGTGAGTTCTGTTTTCTTTGTCTGAGTCACCATAGTGTTGATTTATAGACTTTCTAGCAGCAGGTTTCCATGAATGAGTTTTTATTGAGCTTTGCAATCAGGTGATGGAGCCCCGTCTGCTGATCCAGACAGAAATAACCAGCTTTCTAATTAACTGAGGGTTTCTGTTCGTCAGACGCAGCTCATTGCATCAAGAATAAACTGGATCGCTACAGGAATCCAAAAATAAACCCATCTTAGCACCATTTTCTAAAATGAAACTGAAAATGCTACTTTGTTAAGAAAAGAAGAAGCGTTTTCTCTCTCAGTTGTGCAAATATTATTAAGTGGGGTTCCTCAGGGTTTCGTTTTCTTCCCCATTTTAATGTCACTGAGTAAATTCCCATTGGGGTGTTCAAAAAACTTACATATGGAAAAAGAATATGATGGCATATAATTACTGAGCGTAATGAAAACTTCCAGGCTAGTCATGGGGCCTTTTTGCTAATTTGATGTGATTTATGTGAAAATAAAGGTTGTTGAGGTTGACCTACCTATATCTGTATTTAGTTTCTATATTCACAAATGAATGCTTTCAGTCTATAAGATTTGCTCTTTTCTTTTGTTTCCACAATGCCCACTTATATAGAATGATTGAAGTCCACATTGTTGATTGGATGGCTCGTATGATTAACCTGTGAAGTCTGGTACTAAAGGGCTGTGTATACTCCATTAGCAGTGTGTCGCAGTTAAGGCTGGTTTATACTCTTAACATAGGTCGTCTGCGTATGTGTCACAGTGAATGCAGATATGCCCCGCCCCCTCCGCAGACATTCTGCTGCACCTCTCCAAAATTGTAGGTGACCGTAGACAGTGCCGCTGACAGGAGGCCTCTGATTGATCAAATCTACATTCGCTCTACACTATGTGTATTTCCTGTTTGGTACCTTACCGGCTTGTTTTGTTTGTATGACCGCCACTGTTGAAACCTACTCGTCAAGATTGACCAGCTTAAAGAGCGAGGTGCGCGAGAACGCTGGGACCCTTTGTTCCCTAAAGACTGGCCGTGGCGCTGCGCATTTTGGCTTGTGGGTGCAAACCAACAGAAAGTCGCACAGAGCTACAAACTAGCATCCTGGACGGTGTCTGGGATAGTGTCCGAGCTGATATTTTTGATTTATGCCAATATTGAAGCGTGGTCTGCGCTATGTTATTCCATGCCACAATGCAAGAGGGACAACCACGAACTAGCTAGGATTGTGGGTGTCCGCGTGTTGGTTTGACGAGCTTGTTCGCCATCTATAGCCCCTCATCCAACGCCGGACGACACACAGTTCAGTTAGTGTTCCCTAAAGTTGGCCTTGGAGCTGCGTGTTTTGGCTTGTGGGTGCAAACCAACAGAAAGTCGCACAGAGCTACAAACCGGCATCCTGCACGGTGTCTGGGATATTGTCCAAACTGTGCCAGGCATTGTGGACAACACTACAGCCAGAGTTTCTGCCATAAGGTACCAAACAGGAAATAAGCATAGTGTAGAGCAGATGTAGAATTAAACAATCAGAGGCCTCCTGTATGCGGCACCGTCACCCATAGAAGACCTAGTTTCTAGACATAAACCAGGCTTAACAGCAGAACAAATCTGTGTAGGGTTAAAACCCTAAAGTTATCTTCCTGCAGGATTGTGTCGCAGTGAGCTTGTCGCAGATATTTTTGATCTATGCCCAATATTGGTCTCTGCTATGCTATTCCACACCACAATGCAAGAGGGACAAGCTATGGGTCTAGATATGGCCGAGGCGGTGAGGAAGGCTCTTCTAGCTAGTGCAACTTTACGAGTCGTTTTCTACAATGGTGGTCAAACAAACAAAACAAGCCGGTAAGGTACCAAACAGGAAATACGCATAGTGTAGAGCGGATGTAGATTTGACCAATCAGAGGCCTCCTGTCTGCTGCAGTGTCTGCGGTCACCTACAGTTTTGGAGAGGTGCACCAGAGAGTTTGCTGAACAGGCGGGGGCAGATCTGCGTTCACTGCGACTCACACGCAGACGACCTGGTTTCTGAGCATAAACCAGTCTTAAAGGTGTGTTCACACCAAATGCAATCTCGGCATCACAAAAAAACCACCGTAATTTGGATTAATTCTGGATGCTGGGTGAAACGCTGGTCAAGACGCTTTGAAGCTTCGATGCTGTGGATGTTCCGCACTCTGGTTGTTTATCTGCTCTGTTCTGTTGTTACAAGCTAGATAGCAGTTTTGCTTTATTTACTTTGATGAGTTGCTGAGAACGTTTTTAAGTGAGAAAGTAAAACTCCAAACATCCGCTGTACAGTCAGTTGATCAGGATTGGGATCATGGTAAAATATGCAGTTCTTGTTCGGAATGTCAGACCTCCAAGATGCCGGCGGATATCCTGGATCAGCTTTTCTGATGGTTGACGCCTGGCATCCAGCAGTAAGCGTTCCGATTTCTGAACTCCAACATCGAATGGTGTTTCTTCTAAGCATTTATTCACAAGAAACTTATTTGGTAACTCAGGAAAGACATTATAACTGTAATGTAACTGATCAGGCCTGGGACAGTTATCTGCTGTCTTAATAGATATATTTGAGTAGAGTAGAGTATCTGTTTTCCCTCACTAATGTAGGTTAAGACAAGCTGAAGCAATGTCTGGTGGGACAATGTTGGAGAACAGAGGGATGTGCTTTCAGGCTTGTGTCAGCCCTTCGACATTCATCTTGTCTTTTTCTGTGTTTCCAATAAACAAGAACACTGAAGTCCGTCTGGAAGCTTCAGATGTAAGCTCCATATGTCTATGTTACATTGCTGACCTGATAAGCCATCATCTGATCGTGTTTTCATGTGTTTTATCAGCATGAGTCAGCTGCTGTGAGGCTAAACACAAACAGGCCAAACCACTATTGTTGCGCTTCCACGTTTTGTGTTTGTGTTCAGCGTGCCTTTTTATGGAACGTCCTCAGTTTCTCATTCTTTAAATGACATCTCTGATTGCTTCTAGTCAAAGGAAAAACAGCAAAATTTATGGTAGCAGCAAAATGGTTGTTTCAGGGGCTGGTCTCTGCAGTAAAACCAGGAGTTCAAGTACCCTGATGGTTTGTTCAGCAACAGGCAGACCCAAAAGTGGATACACAGACTATGTACACTAACCAGCCACTTTTATAGGTGCACCTGTTAGTGCAAACAAGAAATCTGTCAATTGGACTGTAGCAGCTCAAAGCTTTAAAGTATGCAGATTTTGAAATGTCGACTTCTAGAGATGTTAAAACAGCATCAGAAATGGGAAAGAATATGCTCCCAGTGACCTTGAACATGTGATGAATATTGATGCATGATTAGCTGGTCTGAATTAATCAGAAAATATTAATCTGTTAGGTTTCTCAGAATGCAACAATCATTCAGGATTACAAAGAATAGCCTGAAAAATGAAAGCGGGTGGACAGCTGCTGTGTGGATGTAGCGAAGAGACATTTGCTAGACCCTTTTCTGACTCTGGGCCTGTGCAAGTCCTGGATGGTGGAAAGTCGAACCAGATGAGCCTCTTTCCATGCCTAATTGTTGGTTTTATTTTGGACCTGTCTTGCTTTGTAGGTGTGATAAACTGTGACAAGAACTAAAGCATAATAAAGGCAGTGTAGAAGATGCCCAGCAACTCCACTGCTGCTGAAGTACCCTCTTTGCTGGGCCTTCTTCTGAACCAAGGAATTGGAATTGATCCACAGAACTCCAGACAGCAAGGCAAGACAAGGCAAGGCAATGCGAAGCAGGTTTATTAATAAAGCACATTTAAATAGCACTACAATTCAAAGTGATGCATAGAGTTCATGATTGATATAAAAAACAAATGTTTGCATCCACCAACTGTACTGCTGTTGGTGGGGCAGAGAATTATCTAAAATTCGCCAATGGAATGAGTTTTTTTTACTCTTAAAATAAGATAATTAGGTGATATGAACTTGAAATAAGGACATGAAATAGTTTTTGTTTTCTCATTTTAATGTTGTCTTGTTCCATTGGCAAAGTTTCTCACTTACCTCCCTTAATTCAAGAAAAGGTACTTATTTTAAGAAAAAATGACTTATTTCGATTTCAAATGTTTCCAGTGTTGACAAATCTATGGTATCAAGACTAAAGGCAGCAAGTTCTAGCAAGCTGTGCATTATAAAGTGAAGTTGATTTTTTTCAAGTACCTGAATGAGCAGGAGTTTGTTGGCTTGGGATTAGGATTACTACAGCAGGTCGTTATAATCTGACCATGGGTGGATGGATTTATTGTCTCCTGAATGTTCAAATTACTTAGGAACAAACTATTTGTCCAAATGTGTCTACATTGTCATTGTCTCCTTTCTATCTCCTCTTTCTTTTATCTTTCCTCTCTTTTTTTCTTTTTCTTCTTCTGTTCTATTTACATTGCAGTGTCCATATAAACTGTAAAACTCCCTGCATAATTATATCAAAGCAATTTATATGCATGAAACAAGTGGAGCTATACGGTAATTGCCGTACTGCTCCACTTGTGAAAGTAAAATCGGTTCTCTTTTTGGCATCAAGACAATTATTCTTATTGCCACATTGCCAGACAGGACACTGTTAAAAAAACAAACAAACAAAAAATTTAAATATGTCTACAAATGTTTCTTTACACTTTTACATGTTTTAATAAAATCTGCAGTCACATAACACACATACGTGCTATAATGAGCATAAACCCAACCAAGACATTCAGAAGGCTCTTTACAAACATTCCTCTGAATTTCTTCTTTGTAAACTGAAAGAATGAAGGACTTGAATTGTCTGCAGCTCTGTAACAGCCACAGACCATCACCAGACACACAACCCCAATGCCAGGACGAATCCCACAATCCTTTGCAGCATTGTAACATCAGAGCATTAGTGAATAGAAATATGTGTGTGTAAGACTAGAGAAATTGTTCCGCTCAAGAACAACGTGTGTGTGTGTGTGTGTGGTCTTGTTTTAGCTACAATGTGGGGGAAGTATTTTGTAAAACACCCTACATGCAGGGATTTACAGGTACATATGGGGACATTCAACTGGTCCCACTATGGTAAAGTTATGTCCTTTGAGTTGGGGTGAGGTATATGTTGGTTATAATTATTTAAATAGATGCAAGTCAATGAAATGTCATGAAAACAAAGCTGTGTGTGTGTGTGTGTGTATGTGGCAAGGCTGCGTCCTCTGATCTGAACATCTCAGGGGGAGGAGGTGTTAGAACTGGATTACAAGCCAAATAACAGAAAGCCACGACCCCTCCTCTCTATAAATTATTCACTTGAATATTGGCTTGTCTTTTACACAGAGACACAATAAACGACGGGCTTTAATGAATCGGCCCTGATTTAACTCTGAAACCATCTCTCAGAGTTTTTAACGTTGAAAGTCGCATTTCAATTGCATTTTTCTGTAGCTTCAATCTGAATCATCATCATCAGCATCATCATCACATGCATTCCACAGATGAAGAGGTGAACCAGCGGCGCAGGAGGCTCTGTGCTGTCAGTGTGAACTCATTCACATGCAAAAGGATAAATATAGGATTTTGGGGATTAAAGAAGCCGTCAGTGTTTCATATTTTGGTTCTATTTCTTCTTGTAGGTTGGTGTCACCGTACCCCCATCCCACTCTGTGCAGTCTGTTACCATGGAAACCCCAACCTTTGTCCCTCCCCTCCCCTTTTTCCATCACTTTGAAGTCAGTGTGGTGACCTACATTAAAGATCTTTATTAGTTTTTGACTTTACAAGTTCATCCAGAGGATCATGTTTATATTATCATCTCTGAGGCCTGTTCTGATATGTTGACGGTACTACTGTGGCTTCTAAGGTGTAGATTATCTGTACTCTGCTTCCTGCAGTAAACATATTTCTGTCATTTCTTCAGCGCATAGCAGCCATAATCCCTGTCGCAGTATGTTTTACAAGTCTCTTCAGTAGTTTTGAGTTAAAAGTCAAACAGTTAAACAGCAATTTATAGTTAGGGTTTAATTTAAGAGGAAATTTTGACATAAAGAGATTTAAAACAGGATTTGCTCCACAGATAGTGACCTATCTATTGTTCAAACCCATTTTTTCATGTACCCCTTGAAAGCTGGTACATCTCTGCAGTGGTCAAAGGTGAAAGAAAGGGAAACACCCTGATAGCTCAACAGTTTATGATGGGTTTACTATTCAGTAAAACAATTGTATGCTGAATACTGCAGAGAGGTATGTGGTGAAGAGGGGGCGGGGATTATCCCTGGTAGTGGGGTGGGGGTCTACCAGACAATTCACCACTACATCACAGGCAATCAAACAGAAGGCTTTTTATATTTTTATATTATATTTTTATATATTATTATTTTTTATTGCAAATCTTTGTCATTACAAATGTAAGGTCGTCATTGTAAAATCACCAATGTTAACTCATTTTCATGAAGAGTGATTACAGTAAACAATGTAAACAAATTAAAGCATGTAGTCAAAGCTTACATTATTTGTTTCTCTGTATGTTCGTCTTTGCATCTAAATCTTTAATCCCTGACATTCTTTTGTATTTTTACCCTGCAGGAATCAGTGGATTCCTCCTCGCTCTTTAAATGAAATCAGCTGCATACATTTTTCCTAAATGATTCCTGAGGGAAAGCAACCAGCTTCCCAACCAGTTGGATTCTCTCTTTTATTGGTGTTTCTACAGACAATGAACTGCCTGGAACAAGAAGAATGACTTATATGGAAACCCGAAAGTGGGACAGAATTCACTTAGATCCACAGAAGGAAATTGTGGACTTGGATTGTTGACTAAAACCAAACAGTCCGAAGCAAAGGACACCTTTTTTGGATTCGGAATGTGCAAACAGCCTCCATTTAAGTTTTTCCTTCTTTCTCCTGAATGTACGATGGAATAAACCACAAAGAGAGCCGAGAAAGGTGGGAAATCCATTGCAGCGAGTAGCAGGAAACCCTCTGCTTGAACAGAAATCGTCTCCTGGCTGTGGTGAGGAACAAGGGGTGTGTTTGGAGGTTCCACCCCACCACAAACACTCTGCCGCTCGCAGATGGAGGCCCACCAACACTCCCCAGACACAAGCAGTGAGGAGTGCACCGTCCTGGAGGCCCCACCCAGCAAGAACTCCTGCCTGCAGCATGCAGGAAAGGTAAGGAGACGTTTAAAGCAGCATTCTGCTGAGAATGCTGAATAATCCTAACTGTACCAACTGTGGTCTTCAGAAACAATGTTTCCATTTGGTAAACATTTACCATGAAATGAAACCAAACAAGTGATTATGGCCAAATGAAAACTGAATGTTTTAATTTAGCAATTTAAATTCTGTTGAAAAGTGAGTCACAGGTTAAATTCCTCACTGTCTGCAGGTGGCTGACCTGTACTGCTCAGCCTGTGAGTGTGCGCTGTGTGAGGACTGCTTACCGGCCCACGAGGATCACCCCAAGGTGGTGCTCAGCCAAGCCCTGGAGCAGCACAGGAACCGGCTGCAGGAGAGACTGGGGGCGGTCCAGAACAGGTACAGGCTGAAGGCAGCTACAGACAGCACACATGGCCATTTCAATTTTTTAGTACTGAAAAAGAAGAATGTCTTTAATTGATCTGAAATGTACAAAAAAAGAAAAAAAAAAAGAAATAGATAATATAAATATATGGTTGAGGCTAGAGCAATATGGAGAGAATTCTGTTCCTTTATTTTTGTGAGCAAAGAAATGCAACCAAGATTTGGAATTTTGAAAAAAGCTTTTAATCCAAAACTGGTTGGGAGTAAATTTGCTGTTTTCCCATATATATTAACATTTTTATGTATTTTTTTTTAACTTTCTTTCTTTCCTTTTTATTTATTTATTTATTTTTTTTTTACAGATTTGATATTTTGAAATGTTAGGTTTTTCATATTTTCCTTATTTTGATTAAGGTTATTGATTTCTTGATTGATTGACTTTATTGATCTCACAGTGGAGAAATTTACATCAGCTCAAATAGCCAAAGGAGAACAAAGTGCCAATGGAAGTTAACTGTGAATGGGTTTATATACAGTATATACAGTGTGTCCGCATACAGCAGCTTTTTCTTTTTTTTTGTGAATTAAATTCTTTTGAAAGTATTTTCTTCACTTCAAGCCCAACACTGGCTCTTGGAGCGCACATTAACCAATAGAACTGTTGCTAAGGTCCATGCAAACCTATTAAAATGTGTCTTTGCTCATCACTGCAAAGGAAAGTCCTTCAAGAAAGTGATCTAAAATAACAATTTCCAAAGAATGCAATTCATAACATCTGAAAAAAGAATTTAAGAGAATTTTAAATACCAAAATTAAAAGAAATAAAATATAAACAATTGAAAATATAAAATATAAAATAAAATGGAAATTGGAGAAAGGACTTAAGTTACTTTCAAACCTATTGATGAAGTTTTATCAAAGTTTCATTTCTGTATTTTTTTATTTTTTATTTTGATTCGTTGTTTTTTTTTTATTAATTGTAAAAGCGTTATTTTGCTTGAAACAATAATGGAGCATAATTGATTCCACCCAGAAGTCTGGTCCTGGGGCCATTTACAAGCTATGGGACAAGTTTTTGTTCCCCCCTAAATTGAAAAAATGGATGAAAAATATGATGCTCTCCAGCACTAGAAATTCCTGCAGATGGACATAATATGTTGTTTTTTATGGCATATTTTTATAGAAAGTCTTAAATCTTATTAAAATGAATTGTGAGTATAATTCACATTTTTAAATAAAAAAATGACTCACTAACTCATTTTAGTTAATAATAAAAAAGGAAATATATGGATAATTTATTTTAAAGATACAAGTTATATAAAATTTATGTTTTTCTCTAAAAGGAAAAAAATATTGACACCATATTTATTAAGCCCTTTTGTGACAAAAATCTGATAAAATTTATCTTTTTTACTAAAATATGGCATGCTTAATTAAACACTGAACGGATGCAAAGACGCACCATGAAAATCTAATATTTTTTGTATGTTTCATTTATAAAAAAAAAAAAAAAATCTGTGTTAACTTAATTAAACCTGACCAAAGCTCAGAGAGAAAAAGTTTAGACACCACTGAGTTCTACAAACATCTTGTAAAATAAGAGACACTGACATCTGGTGGTCATGTTGGGAAACACAAGATTAAGTGAATTATTAAAATATATGGCAGAGTATTAAAAAATAAGAATATGGACTAGACCAAATTAAGGAAAATTCAATGAATGCCTTAAATTAAATCAATTTGATATTAACCTTTTGTCTCTGTGTGTCTTCTCTCCAGACTCCCCCAGATTTCAGATGCTCTGTCATTCGTCAGAGAGATTCTCCAACAGCTTACCAATCAGAGAGCTTCCATCGAAGAAGACATCCAGTCCAGCTTTGAAGACCTGCACAAGCAGCTGGAAGTCCGGAAGAGCGTTCTGCTTATGGAGCTCGAAGTCACATATGGGCTCAAACAAAAGGTGCAAACAGGATGAATTAGTACATAAGTTCTGGACGTATGAACCAGTCATGTTTTTGGATTGTGGGAGGAAGCTGGAGTACCTGGAGAGAACCCATGCATGCACAGGGAGAACATGCAAATTCCATTCAGAAAGACCCCTGGCTGGGAATCAAGCTTTGACCCATCTTGAAGCAAGGCGGCACTTTTCCACTTATTTATAGATGATGTATAGTGATACATTTATATATAGATACGTACGTATAGATGTTAGAGGATTTATTTGCTTGCAGGTTAAGGTTGACTCTTATCATTCTTTATCCATTGGGGTTTTAATTCATCAAAGACTGCTTTTGTTTAGGTCCTCCAAGCTCAGATAGACAACCTGACCCGAGGAGACGGGGACATCACGGCCACCTGTACGCAGACGGAGGAAGCTCTGGCAGAGGAGGCGAGCGTGGCAACCCTGGAGGCGGAGCACGAGCTGGAGGAGAGGCTGAAGGAGCTGGCTATCCTTAGAATGCCGTGCCAGCCGGAGGAGAACGACCAGCTGGATCTGGTGATGGAGACGGACGGACTGAGGAAATCCATCCACAACTTGGGGACCATTGTTACAACCAGGTGACACCATACAAAAATACATGAAGTTCAAAACGAAACTCATATCATTCTGTATCTAGCCCTCATCTTTGCCTTCTTCCTCAGCGCTGTGGCAAGTCAGAGTGAAGCCATGGGCTCCGGCTTGGAGCAGTGCATTGTGGGACATCCTGCTTCAGTTACTATAGTAACAAGAGACAAGTCGGGTGGAGCCTGCAAGACCGGCAATGCCATCTTATCAGCTGAGGTTTGCCTTAACATTCATACTATGGAGAAATATAGTCATGGAGAAAAGAAAGTACACGCTTACTGCTTCTATTGGGATTGTGTTCAAACGCATTTTTAAAGAATGATGAACTGATTGGATTTATTTCATTTCTCCCCAAGAATGTGCAGCATAATTCTCTCTATTGTTTGAGTAAACTGAATAAAGTGTGTCTCCATGCAGGTGTTCACCCCCGATGGCAGCATTGTCGATGGGGAGATAGTGGACCATAAGAACGGTACCTATGAGTTTGTTTACACGGTGCCCAAGGAGGGCGAGTTCTCTCTGGCTCTCCGTCTGTACGACCAGCACATCAAAGGAAGTCCCTTCAAACTGACCATCGCCAAGGCCTCGGAGGTAGAGGTCGAGGTGGGTCAGACCTTCTCATCGTCCTGATTCCTCTGCATTTGGATTCAGTCTTTATAATACAGAAAAAAGAACATAGAAAACAAAATGTTTTGTCTTAAGTTTATAAAGTTCCTTTGTATCTACTCTGAATGCCTAAATGCATTACCATAAATACCTGGATTCCTCATAAAGGAGCATATAGCAGCCGGCTTTATTTAATGAGGCAGTAAATTTTCTAAGAATTATATAAATTTAGATAAAAAAAATGTAAGCTATGACACAAATAGATTGGCCTTAGTGCCAGCTTTTATTTATTCTTTATTCAAAGACAGTTTTGTGAAAGGTTTCCGTTTCATATTTAAAACAACATTCAAATAGCACTTAAAACTATTAAATCCTAAGGTTTTATTGATTGATCAATCTCAGGAAAGCTTTGCTTTTAAACCCAACCCCTGAGAATGTAACTTGTTAAGGAGACAATTGCTATGCTCGACAGAAATATTTCAAATAACTAGTTTGTTGGCAAATTTCCCGCTTAGTAACTGACTGTGATTAGAAATCAACAGGTCATTGCTAAAAAAAACCCCCTGATTTTTACACCTGTAAATGAACACAAACGACGAATTCCCATTTTGAGTCCGTAAATCAACGAAAAGGACAGAATGTGATGTAAATTATTATTTAAATTAAAAAGACACCTATTTAAATTGTCAATAATTGAGGTAGAAGGTGAGATCTGAAATCAACTCAGACTCGAGTATGCCTTAGTAGTGCAAAGCGTAATAAAATATTTATCCACTTTCTGAAAATAAAAAGATCTGTTTGGAGTCAAGCTTTTTTAAATATTTATGAATATATCTTGGGGAAAAATGTAGAAGTAATTTACTTAACTTTATTCATCGACGCTATCATCTATGGAAAAACCTAAAGTTGATACAACTTGTATTTTCTGTTTTCTCTTTGTTTCATAGGTGTCTCCCTCCACAACAACAGCAACTAACTCTGCAGCCCACGCCACCCCATCCACAGGCTCCTCAGATGGAGCAAAGAGGCGAGGAAAGTCCCCCGGTCAGAAGAAGAAAGGTTCCAAGAGGGCCAGCAGTGCTTTGGGCACCCCACGACGAAAAACTCAGAACCCCATCGAGGATGATCTCATCTTCAAAATAGGTTAGAACTCCTGAATTTGCACTTTGAATTGTCATTTTATTGAAAGGTGCTTTATAAATACATTTGCCTTGCCTCAAAGCTTTGAATTGCACAGTCTTTACAGAGTAAAACAATTCTCTCAAAAACAGAACAATTCAGTTAT